CCTGTCCCCAGGGCTCCCAGGTCGGGCGACGACGATCGAAGGTGTTGGCAGCTAACAAACCCCAAGTCTGCATAAAGGTCAGCAAGTTATCCGTCAATATCTGCCTCCTATCCTTCCTCTCCCTCTCCGCCTTCCCCTCAGATCCCGTCCTCCTCCATGATTTCGTACCTGTCCCAGTGGCAGCATAACCCTGACCTGCAACCTCAAGCTGAACAAGTGGTGGCAACTCAACATTGGCATCCGCAAGCAAACAAAAGCTGGCCTGACGATATTTCTGCTTCAAGAGACGGATCTGACCCTCCAACTCCCCCAGCATTTCCGCCGATTCAAGATCACACTGATCACGATCATGATGTGGAAAATAAGCCGAACATATGATCACCTGAGACGCCTCCGTTCCGAACACACCCAAGACAAATCTGTCGCAGTCTGTGACACACTCGCGCAGGAGCTGGGCCCACCCCTGGGCATACAACAAGCCTGCACGTCTATCCCTGGAAGGTTTAAAATGCCAGCCAAGTCTATCTAATTCAGCTGAGTCTAAGAAATCGCACTCTTGCAAACCAAAAATTGAAGAGGCTCCTATCTTCCTCAGAGATGTTAGAACCTCAGTCCCACGTGAGTTGGAAACACCCGAATTACCTACATTCCATGTCCCGATACGAAGTCCCTTGCTCCAATATCGTTTTTGTCATTGGCGTCTGTTGACCTCACTCTCTAGCATCTGCTTAGTGACAGCTGCCACTGCAGGAAAAGCACTGACAACCTGCTGCCACTGAGGCTCGTGCACCTCCCAAGTATTACGAGCTGAAGTGAACGTGGCAATATTGATGGGACGCAAAGCACCCTTGGCGACGGTCCATATCAATGATCGCGGTGGTCCAATCTCTCCTCTCACTTCGATCTGAGCGTGCTGTTGTGTCATCGTCCTGAACGCACCGCAAAACCTCGCCACAGCTTTAACGTGATCCTTTTTCCAAGGTGCGCACTCGATTTGAACACGTAAATTCGATCCTGGGAATGGAATCGCAAGGCCCTCAGTCAAGACTGCAGGTAAAGGTAGACCATTGTGCCCATCAACCGTATTCCTAATGATTGCATCCCACTTCTTTTTGATCGTCCAGAGCAGGTCCCTACTCGTATTGGGCTTGAAACTGATCTTAACACTGCCAAACATATACCTGCCCGAATTGATACGTTCAGTTGTTTCACGATCCACTGCGTCCTTCTCGAGTTGGTCGCATCGCCCCAAACAATTATCAATAAGTTTTTGGCAATCACTCCACGTTAGAAGTTGCTCTGCCCGCGCGCCATGATCAGACCAATTCGTCACCCACCCTTTCAACTCAATGTATGTCGGTTTGAAGTCCTGGAAACGCGAACTGGGAGATAATCCAGGCGGCCCACCGCCTCCAATACCACCACCAGCAGTAGTACGAGATACATCTGATCCAGCACCACTTCCATTATGTACTTGACGCAGGGCCTCTTCAAACTTATTCATCCTCTCCTCCATCTTGTTAGCTCTGTCATCGTGCTTCTGCAATGTACTCTCCACGGCTTTGATATGATTGTTCGTGTTCTGAATGGTCTGTAGAATCTCCTCCTTGCTATCCTCTGCTTTGAAGAAATGGTCCATGACGAACCTCTCAAACCCAGTGGTGGCAGTTTTCATCATCTCCTCACGTTGTTTTTGAATATCCCCTCCATTCCTCGGTCTCTTGTTTTCTTTATTTGTGTCCATAGCAGCGTTCATATTTGCATCAACCGTAGAGGATGCACCCGACATAATTGCTTCTGAGATCTGTGATGGAATACCCCACTTATTAAGAAATGCTTTGTCGTCTTCACGCTGTCGTTTCCCTGATGCACTCTCTAAGGATCTTAAATCCGCAGCGTCCCAAGGTTCGAATTGATCCAAGTAGTCGAAATGATCCACACAGTCCTCTCGAGGTGTCAATGGGCAGTCAAGATCCTGACTAGTATTCTGATGCCACTGAGCAACTGTCTCGTTCCAGCGCCCCAATCCAATTGCTTCCAACAAAGCTTGTCTCGACTCGGGTGTGTCGTACGACGTGGTCCCAAATACTTGCACGAAGAATTACGATATGCTCCTCAGGCTCTGCTGATCACTACCGCTGGCCTTGGCGGAGGTTGCCCAGGCAGGACAAAGTCAGCGGCTACGTGACCTTGAGCCGACACGTTACTTGAGCCGGGGGACTCGTAGAGCTTCCTGACAGTATATAGTGTGGAAAAAACTCAAAGAACGATTTTTTTTCAGCCCAAGCAATTTCAGACCTCGGAAGATGACTTTAACAAAAAAACAAACAGTTTCGCAACCCATTTCGAGTATCAAACCGAGTTCAGACCTCTGAATTCGACAGGCGGGCGCGTCTGATGTCTGCAAACACTCATGTGATTCCCAGCCCTGCAGCCCCGCTACAGCCCGAGCTTCTGTGGAGAAAACCGACAGTATTGACTCGAATACTAGAATAGTTTCGCGAACCTAGTTCGAGCAGCAGACCGAGTTCAGAGCTCTCGAATCGACCGACAGACGCGCCTGAGGTGTGGAAATAGATATCTGTGAACCGCAGCACTGTAGCCCCCCCCCAGCACGAGTTGAGTGCAGAAAAGTGAGAGCACTTCTCAAGATAATACGCAGAATACGAATAGTTTCGCGAACTCAGCTCGGACAACAGGCCGAGTTCAGAGCTTTCGGTCCAATGGACGAACGCAACTGACGATTCCCCATCGATGTCTGTGACAATGAGCCCTGTAGCTTCCCTACAGCTCGAGTCAAGTACAGAAAACCGAGAGAAAAGAGATAATGAACAAAAAAAGAAATAAAAAAGATTAACAAAAAAAAAACTAAACAGAAAAAAAAAAATAAAATAATAGAAGAACAAAACGCGTCCCTTTCAAGATGACTCGAATTATACGAATAGGTTTGCGGACCTAGCTCGGCTAGCAGACCGAGTTCAGACCTCTGGATTTAACAGGCGAACGCGCCTGATAATTCTGAATGCGATAGGTGTGCTTACCAGCTCTGTGGCTGCTCTACAGCTCGAGTTCAGTACAAAATACCGACAACGCGTGACAAGATGACTCGAAACGGCCGTTCCCGCCGGGACGCTTTTTGGCCTTCAAAGTCACCCGATCGAGCTGAGATCAAGATGGCGAGCGGGAATAAGATCGAATACGACGGGAAAAAATAATAGAGCTCTAACGAATTGTCAAATTTTGAGGACAAAATTTTCAAACGACCAAAAGTCACCAAAAGGTGTGTCGAGATTTTTCTTGCCAACTAGCTCTCCAGCGCTCCGGAATTACTCTAAGGGAAGCTCTACGAGTTACTTGCTAAGGGAAGCCCGTCGAGATTTTTCTTGCCACTAAAAATAAAGATATAAAAAAAAAAAAATCCTATTCTGTAACTATAACAGAAAAAAAAACAAAAAGCTAAGAAGGAAAAAAAAAAAAAAAAACAAATATACTAAAGAAAAAAGAAATCAAACAAAAAAAAAACAAAAAAGAAAATACTAAAAACCTATAAACTAATAAAACAAAAACTAAAAAGACTATAATAAAAATAATGAAATAATAATGACCAATAAAAATATAAAAACATAGTAACTTTAAAAAAAAAAAAACAAAAAAAACTATCTCAAAGCTCTCCAGCTCCCCGGAATTACTTTTAAGCTTCCAGCAATAACTTGCTAAGGGAAGCTCTACGAGTTAAACCCAGAGAGCAAAGAGAACACACACCGGAAAACCTTCCTGGCAAGCCCACGGAAGCTCGCGTGAAGTTTTTCTGGGGCTCCGGGGCGCCCCCCGCAGGCAGCGCTTCCAAAGCGCTTCCACGAACTGGACGCCGGCGGTAAACCGTCAACCTTGGTTACCGCCGGGAGACTCGTAGAGCTTCCAGCTCGACTGAAATTGAGAACACCGAGGACCTACCAACATTCCGACTTATAGTACATATTTTGTGTCCTCTCAATGCGACAGACGGACGCGTCTGATGTCTGCGAGTCGACTTCTATCATTACCAGCCCTGCAGCCCCCCTACAGCCCGAGTTGAGTGCAGAAAACTGACAGCACCTCTCAGGATGACTCCAACAATACAGTAGTTTCGCAGACCTAATTCGGGCAGCAGACGAGTTCCGAGCTCTGGTCTCCGCAGGCGGATGCGCCTGATGTCTCTAAATCGATTACTGTCCCCAGCAGCACTGTAGCCTCCCCCAAGCACGAAATACCGACAGCACTTCTCAGGATGACTCGAACAATACGAATAGTTTTGCGAACCTAGCTCGAGCAGCAGGCCGAGTTCAGTGCTCTCGAGTCAACGAACAAAGGCGCCTGGTGATTTCCAATAGATTTCTGTGACTACGAGCTCTGTAGCTGCCCTACGGCTGGACTTAAGTACAGAAAACCGAAGGCGCCTGTCAAGATGACCCAAATAATACGAATAGGTTTGCGGACCTAGCTCGGCTAGCAGACCGAGTTCAGACCTCTAGATTTAACAGGCGAACGCGCCTAATGATTCTTACTGCGATAGGTGTGCTTGCCAGCTCTGTAGCTGTCTTAGAGCTCGAGTTAAGACCATAAAACCGAGAGTTTCTATGAAGATTACTCGAATAATACGAACACGTTTCCGGACCTAGCTCGGCTCACAGACCGAGTTGAGACCTCTGGGTTCAACAGGCGAAAGCGCCTGATCATTCTGCATGCATAGCTGTGCTTACCAGCTCTGTAGCTGCCCTAGGAGCTCGAGTTAGTTTCATAAAAACCGACAGCGCGTATCAAGATACTCGAAACGGTCGATCCCGCCACAGTGGCATTGTGGCCTTCCAAGATACCCGTCGAGCTGAGATCAAGATGGCAAAAAAAGGCTACAAAATACAAAGCGGGAATAAGATCGAATATCACGGGAAAAATACTAGAGCTCTAACGAATGGTCAAATTTCGAGAACAAAATTTTCAACCGAGCAAAAGTCAGCAAACTGGGCGCCGGCGGTAAACCGTCAACCTTTCTTTTGCTTTCCTCGGAGCCCACAGGGACAGAGGAGTCCCCGCTCAAGATTCAGGTCCGCAGCAGCGGAGCAGATGCTCGCCATCCAACACGAAGCATCCACGACTCGCCAAAAGCGAGACAGCGGACAACCTACAAGGGATGCGAGTTAGTAAACGTCTCACCACGGGGAGTGCACAACAAGGCGAAGCCTTAGAATATGACATGAAGCAACATGTGCAGAAGCCACATTACACTAAAGCGGTCAACAATTACGCAACTCCAGTATACAAGAGGTTACCAACACGAAACTTTGGATACACATGATTATTGAGGGAGATCCACACTGTTCCGAAATCAGCCACAGCCGACCAACAGGCAGACCAATCGTTTGGAAGGGAAGGAAACACCCTAACCGTATATATGCGAAGTCCCAAGAAGATAAGCTCCCATTGGGCAGAAAAGGGTCGCTTCAACCCGTGCTGAGTTTTGGGAGCCAGTTCAATAACGTTTCAACCAACACAGCGATAACTCTAATCCATCGTCTCCAATAGGCGTCCAAGGAAGTGTTGTGCGAGAGACCGATAATGAATAGCAAGCCCATCGTGTGCGACTATGTCCTGGAGGGTTCGGAGCATGTCGGGATAACATCCATACTCGAGGAGGTCAGCCCATTCGTGCAAGAAATGATCCCTCTCCTCCCGAGGGCAGCTTGTGTAAGCCGCTAAGAAGTCGACAACCCATTCAGTCTGCGCACTTTCGAACTCACTATCACTCGATTCCCCATCGTCATGGTATTTTGGAAACAACATCATGTACGCTCGCAGTCGACTCGGGTCCACATGTGGCCTCGGAAGGAGATGCTGGCATACATCCTCAAACATCTCCTCAAACATCTCCTCACACATCTCCTCTGGATCTCTGTCTTCCACTGTTGGGTCCGCACTCGCTCCAACCTCGGACGAAGCTTGATTGGAAGAAACTTGATTGGAGCAAACTGGATTGGAAGAACCTTGATTTGAAGCTCCAACCTCTGTCGAAGCGCCAACCTCTGACGAAGCTCCAACCTCTGACGAAGCTTCCACTGTTGGGTCCGCACTCGCACCAACCTCTGACGAAGCTCCAACCTGGTTTGAAGACACTTGATTGGAAGAACCTTGATTTGAAGGACTGCTCTGGTTGGAACAACTGCCCAATTGATTTGAAGAAACTTGATTGGAAGAACCTTGAATTGAATAACTGCCATGATTTAAAGCACTGCCCTGGTTTGAAGAACGGCCATCGCTTTCCTCTCGCCCCCTCTTGTCGCCTCTTTCCCTGCCTGAAACTCGAGCGGAAGAACTGCCCACCACTGGACCGCTAGGCCTGAAAACTTGAGCGGAAGAACTGAGGCCGTCAGAATGCACCTGCGAAGGACCAACATGTTCGCCGAGGGCACCAGCCAGATAGATTGTGGCGGGAGCGCGTGTGGTGTCGAACGGAACGGTAAACAAGCTATAGTCCACCTCAATCTGCCTCCAGGCAGCCAGAGTCAATCTACGGGTCTTGCGCTTCCATCTGATCGATTTGGGACCAGACACGGGGGACAGAGTAGGGGAAGTATGAGTGTTGTAACATGCATGCCAGTCGTGACTTATCTGAGACCGCTCACTTGAGTTTGAATACCAAGGGGGTCCACCAAGAGAAGACAACATCGATTAGAGAATAAAAGAAAACTGCAACCAATCTGGAGATCTGTTATCTGTAATGCGTCCTGAGTGCACAACAAATCCACACACGATTGAAAACTGGCAAGAGTGCAGAGATCGGGCACCGCGATGGCTGTCACGGAGTCTGCGCTTGACTGCGTGCGTGCCCTCGTAACGTAAGCGGAACACAAGCTTTGCTGGCGTAGGGGCTCTAAACTGGAGGCGAGGTCCAGGCAGAGTTTAAAACCCCTGTCGGATGCGAAGAGCAACCTTTCTTACCGCCGGGGGACTCGTAGAGCTTCCTGACAATATATAATGTGGAAAAGAATTTCAGAGAACGACTAGTTTTTCAGCCGAAGCGATTATACACCTCTCAAGATGACTCTAACAAAACAAACGAACAGTTTTCCAATCGAGCTCGAGTATGAAACCGAGTTCAGACCTCTGAGTGCGACAGGCAGACGCGTCTGATCTCTGCGGATCGATTCCTGTGATTACCAGCTCTGAAACCCCCCATACAGCCTGTTAAGTGCAGAAAACCGAGAGTACCTCTCAGAATGACTCGAATAATACAACAGTTTCGCAGATCTCGTTCGAGCAGCAGACCGAGTTCCGAGCTCTCGGTTCGACGAGCGGACGTGCCTGATGTCTCGAAATCGACTCCTGTGACCAGCAGCACTGTAGCCCTCCCCCAGCACGATTCAAGTACAGAAAACCGAGAAATTTCTCAAGATGACTCGAACAGTAGCAATAGGTTCGCGAACCTAGCTCGGGAAGCAGGCCGAGTTCAGAGCTCGTGATTCAACAGACAAACGCGCCTGATGATTCGCAATCGATTTCTGTGATTGTCAGCTCTGTGGCTGCCCTAGCGATCGAGTTAAGTACGAACAACCGAGAGCGTCTGCTACAATAAATCAAATAATACGAATAGGTTTGCAACTCTAGCTCGGCTAACAGACCGAGTTCAGACCTCTGGATTCAACGGGCGAACGCGCCTGATCATTCTGAATGCATTAGCCGTGCTGACCAGCTCTTTAGTTGTCCTGAAGCACGAGTTATCTTGAGAAAACCGACAGCGCGTATCAAGATGACTCGAAACGGCCGTTCCCGCCCGTGTGCTTTTTGGTCTTCAAAGTTACCCGATCGAGCTGAGATCAAGATGGCGTGCGGAAATAAGATCGAATATCATGGGAAAAAATACTAGAGCTCTAACGAATTGTCAAATTTCGAGAACAAAATTTTCAACCGAGCAAAAGTCACCAAAAGGTCCGTCGAGATTTTTCTTGCCAACTAGCTCTCCAGCTCCCCGGAATTACTCCTAAGCTTCCAGCAATAACTTGCTAAGGGAAGCTCTACGAGTTAAGTTTTGTCGAGATTTTCTTGCCAACTAGCTCTCCAGCGCTCCGGAATTACTCTAAAGCTTCCAGCAATAACTTGCTAAGGGAAGCTCTACGAGTTACGCTTGCATGCGTGCGGGCTCGCGTTGAAGCTTGCCGGAAGCTCTCCCGGACCAGTTGCCGGCTCGAACGACCTGCTGCGAGAATTCTGGACCGGCGGAGATGGGCTGCTGGCGAGCACCAGGGTGGAGCTAGTTGGCCCACCCGGCTGAGGCGGACAATGTGACAACTTTTTGATGGTTTTGCGATTTTTTGAAAGATATTTGACAATTCATTTTGAGAAAGCAGATTTTTATCCGAGCATTGACATATTAACTTTGTTCTCCGAGCAGCTCAGCCTTCTAGAACCATTTTCAGTACCAGTTCACTTGGAGGAACCGACTTCATGTTAACCCCTAAAAATCTTCACTTCAAGTGAAAAGCTCCCAGAAGCTATCGCGTTGATCCTGAGCTCTCTGACGGATGCAAGGAGCTCTACGAGGTTTCCGGCGGTGACCAGGTTGACGGTTTACCGCCGGCGCCAGTTTCTTGCCAACTAGCTCTCCAGCGCTCCGGAACTGGGCGCCGGCGGTAAACCGTCAACCTTGGTTACCGCCGGGGAACTCGTAGAGCTTCCAAGCTCGACTTCAGTTGAGAAAACCGAGAGCACCTACCAACATTCTTACTCATAGTGAATATTTTTTGACCTCTGAATGCGACAAGCGGACGCGTCTGATCAGACCGAGTTCAGATCTCTCAATGCGACAGGCGGACGCGTCTGATGTCTGCGAATCGGCTCATGTGATTACCAGCCCTGCAGCCCCCCTACAGCCCCAGTTAAGTGCAGAAAACCGACAGCATCTCTCAGGATGACTCGAATAATATAATAGTTTCGCAGACCTGTTTCGAGCAGCAGACCAAGTTCTGAGCTCCGAATCGACCAACGAACGCGCCTGATGTGTGCAAATCGATTTCTATGACCCGCAGCACTGTAGCCTGAGTGCAGAAAATTGAGAGCACTTTTCACGATGATTCGGACAATACGAATAGTTTCGCGAACCTAGCTCGGGCAGCAGGCCGAGTTGAGAGCTCTCGATACAACATACAAACGCGCCCGATAATTCTCAATCGATTTCTCTGACTGGGCTATGTAGCTGTCTACAGCTCGATTTAAGTACAGAAAATACCGAGAGCGTTTGTCAAGATGACTAGAATAATACTGGGCGCCGGCGGTAAACCGTCAACCTTTCTTACCGCCGGGGGACTCGTAGAGCTTCCTGACAATATATAATGTAGAAAGAATTTCAGAGAACGACTAGTTTTTCAGCCGAAGCGATTATAGACCTCTCAAGATGACTCTAACAAACCAAACGAACTGTTTTCCAATCGAGCTCGAGTATGAAACCGAGCTCAGACCTCTCAATGCGACAGCCGGACGCGTCTGACGTCTGCGGATCGATTGCTGTGATTACCAGCTCGGCAGCCCACCATACAGCCTGAGTTAACTGCAGGAAACCGAGAGTACCTCTCAGGATGACTCGAATAATACAACAGTTTCGCGAATCTCGTTCGAGCAGCAGACCGAGTTCCGAGCTCTCGGTTCGACGAACGGACGCGCCTGATGTCTCGAAATCGATTCCTGTGACCAGCAGCACTGTAGCCCTCTCCCGGTACGATTTCAGTAAAGAAAACCGAGAGCACTTCTCAAGATCACTCGAACACTACTAATAGGTTCGCGAACCTAGCTCGGGAAGCAGGCCGATTTCAGGGCTCTTGGTTCAACAGACGAACGCGCCTGATAATTCTCAATCGATTTCTGTGCTTATCAGCTCTGTGGCTGCCCTACAGATCGAGTTAAGTACGAAAAACCGAGAGCGTCTGCTAGAATGACTCGAATAATACGAATAGGTTTGCGACCCTAGCTCGGCTAGCAGACCGAGTTCAGACCTCTGGATTCAACAGGCGAACGCGCCTTATCATTCTGAATGCATTAGCTGTGCTTACCAGCTCTGTAGTTGTCCTGAAGCTCGAGTTACCTTGAGAAAACCGACAGCGCGTATCAAGATGACTCGAAACGACCGTTCCCGCCACAGTGCTTTTGGCCTTTAAAGTTACCCGATCGAGCTGAGATCAAGATGGCGAGCGGGAATAAGATCGAATAGCATGGGAAAAAATACTAGAGCTCTAACGAATGGTCAAATTTCGAGAACGAAATTTTCAATCGACCAAAAGGCAAAAGGTCCGTCGAGATTTTTCTTGCCAACTAGCTCTCCAGCTCCCCGGAATTACTCTTAAGCTTCCAGCAATAACTTGCTAAGGGAAGCTCTACGAGTTACGAATAGATTTCCGGACCTAGCAGACCGAGTTCAGACCTCTGGAGTCAAGAAGCGAACGCGCCTGGTGATTCTGAGTGCGATAGGTGTGCTTACCAGCACTGTAGCTGCCATGCAGCTCGAATTAAGTAGACAATACCGACACCGCAAATCAAGTTGACTCGAATAATACGAATAGGTTTGCGGACCTAGCTCGGCTAGCAGACCGAGTTCAGACCTATGGATTCAACAGGCGAACGCGCCTGATGATTCTGAGTGTGCTGGATGTGCTTACCAGCACTGTAGTCCAGCGCTCCGGAATTACTGGGCGCCAGCGGTAAACCGTCAACCTTGGTTTTTGCGCATTGCGTGCCGCCACAGCAGGGTCGGGTCACCGCCCAGGCGATAGCCACACAGGGAGGCCTAGTATCCTGCCAAATGCAGGCATTCCTCCACTCCCAAAAGGAGTTGTCGGGCAGACTCTAACTCAGCTGCAGTGATAGTGCTCGCGGGGGGAAGGAGGAAAGAGGAAGAGGCCACGTTGGGCTCCCACACGCCACTCGGAAGAGTGACAGGATATTCAGCAACAGAAGAGGAGCACAAATGAAAATCTATCTGCCAGCCACAGCCTACGCCCAGATAGGATCTTCCACCATCGAAGCTTCCCCGAATGGCGTCGATCAGAATAGCGTTAGCTTTAACATGGGATAGGAAATCATGCCTAAAACGTGTTCTACAAAAGCCCTGCCTAGCTCTGTGTGTTAACTCATCCGCAGCAGTATTGTCCTCTCTGTATACCCACTTGAAGATATGTCTCCCAAGACAGGCCGCCTGCACACCACATCTCTTAGCTAGAATGTCTAACTTATTCTGGATGCCGCCCACAATCTTGTCATAATGCACATTGGCAGTAAAATACAAGCCTTGGATCCACCTCACAACGCATTGAGGGTCTCCCTTCAGTTCAATGGCAATCCTTCCCACCTGGAACTCCCACTCCGTGTAATCCTCCAATATCTTAGCATATCGTTTGGACAACACCTCCTCCTTCTTCCTGCTAAGCTCCTCCGAAAGTACCTCCTCCTCCCTCTCTTCCATAGGCTTCCAAGGGATAGGATCTTTAAGAACCAGGAAATCAGAAACACCAGGAACCTGAAGAAGCATAAAAACTTGACGAGCGAACTTGACCCAGGCCTCCTCTGACCATTCCAGAACATGGTACCAGTACGTCCCTCCCACAAGCTCAAAGGGTGTTCTCCACGGGCGCATGCCGATAGGAGCTCCGCCAGTCCTCACACGAGTCCCAGCACGTCCAGCCTGGCTTCCTAAAGATAGTATCAGATCATCCCGCCTGGATTCCCACTCCCCTCCTCCGTGCAACATGGACAGTCGTGCCTGCAGGTAGCCGTTGACAGCAGTGCCCGTGTCCACCACCGTGGGCTGATTGTAATAGCGGGTTGGGTCCTCGAACGTGTCTCTGAGTCTCGCCGTGTTCTGAGAAAGTTGGGTCCTCTGACGTTTGGCCTCATTCATGCACAACGTTTTTCTTTTCCGTCGGTTCATGGGCTCAGGGGGCGTCGTATCATCAGCAGGAGC